GCCAAATCGAATTGCATCTAACTCCCATATTATCTAGGTGACGATCAAAAACTATTGATCGATGACACCTTTGTTAATGGATTAACAAAGTTGTGTTCCAATTCAATGTTCTAGCAATGAGTACATTTTCTTTCCAGACAATATCATCTAATACACATGATACTTCCTTTCTGTGTACCTTGTTCCTCTACGGAGCCTTGGGTCATTGCTTCGGGCTACTTCTGCACTATTGTCGCAATATAGCTTGATAGGCAGCCTAGTATGCTCATAACTTCTAAATCAGTGAGATCAAACAAAAAGGCTTCTTATACTGCCTTCAAGGCTGCAATATACTCTACCATTAGGATTGAGTAAACAGTTGAAATCTGCTTAACACTCTACCAACTGATTTCCCTTTCATTGAGTGGACATTCACCAAGTCATGAACCTCATAGTATCTACATTTGATTAAACATCAAAACTAGCATACCCAACTTGGACCACATCATCACATCCATAAATGAGTATGAGATCATTTGTTCTCCTGAGGTACTTTATGATATTTTTCACAACAAACCAGTTATCAAGTCCAGGATTGGACTGATATCTACTGACTATCCCTACAATGTAGTGGATGCCCAGTTTGGTGAGAATCCTACTTGCCGAAGCATATTATTACAGTTTCATTTGCTCAATCTCCTCTGCTAGTCTTAGAAAACTACCAAACTGAAGTTTTTAAAAACTTTTTGAGGAATTTTCAAATAAAGATCTTGATTTATGTGTAGAGATAAGTTTTATGCATGAAGCACATGATGGAACATTAAATTTAAGGATAGAAAACTTACATCAAGGTTTGAGTAAACCTTAAATCTCTCCTCTAAAGTGAATGTTCTCACTTATTGTAGATCCCTTTGCTAGATGCCATCTCCTTAGATCTCCATCTTCTTGGTAATGGTGTTACCTTTAGGAATCACTCATGAGCCTCCATGAATGACCTTGGAAAATTAAGCTTGTAGGAGCCTCCATTAGATGAGAACACTAATCCTATAAAACTAGAGAGAGAAAATATTTTCTTATCTTCTAAAAGTCTCACCTAAAATATACATGAACCCATGTATATATAGGCAAAATAAAGATAAGGAAAGTAAATAATAAATCCTACTCAATCTCTAATTCACATATCTCAAATCTAATATGATTCTAATATCAAGTTGGGCTATGAGTGAGAATCCTTTGGGCTTATTATTTTATTGGCTACAACGAATTAATAATTAGCCTGGTCTGAGTGGTCCTATCAATTATAATTATAATCAACCATTTACAATAGCACAAATCATTGTAAAATAAGGCTATCGTAGGGGTAAGTCGAACCACAGGGATTGCTAGTTTATGGCAACCAGGATTGAAAAATCATTTTTAGTTTGATGAAAGAGGTGTAAGGTTTTGTTTGGTTTGTCACTTGGTACTTGGAATAAAAAATGTGCATAAACAATAAATGCAAGGAATTTAAAGGAGAAAGATTTAAGTAAAGAGGGCTAGGGAAGTGAATCCACTACCAACCCTATAAACATGCTAGCTTGTGATTAACATGGGGAACAACATATATATATGTCCATGATATGTAACAACACAAAATTGCTACATTATCTTCAAGAAATTCATAAAATCAATAGGCAAGAATAATCTATCAAAGTTTTACATGCTTGAACTACCTAAACTAGGGTGTAGCCTTAGACATGCTCACTAAGCTAGAGATTATCAAACCCTAAATCAAATGATATAGCACATGAAGCTAAAAATCAAGAATAGTCCATCAGAGGAAGGCCCTAAGCTATACTATCAAACTTCTTAAACAACATACCATTAAAACCATTTCACAATCTCATTTTCATTGTCACTATGAAAATACAAGCTATATGATCATGAGAGAAAACAATCTAAGACAAGATAATAAACTCAAAATGATCATTTATAGACATTAATATCCATTACATCATGTGTATACTCTAGATTATGAAACTTGGCCCATGCATATATTTCATTCTCCAAAACAAACCAAAACTAAGGCATGCTTACAAGGAAAGGCTTTATCACCTCAATAGGAAGAGAGTTAGTTACCTATAAAAGCAAAGGAGGAAGGAGGAGAGGTGATCTTACCCTCCATTTTCGCACTTAGAAGCCACAATACACACACACCCTAAAAAACTCAATATTTCTCTCTCTAGAACCCCTTATAATATGAGATTTGTCATTACATGATACAAGCCACCAAATATATCCTAAAAATCTTATCTATCTCCCCTAATTCGTGGTTCAAAAATCCCTATAAGGAAGCCTAGCCATTCATTCAGTCAAAGGGGATAACTTGAGTAAAACCATGGAGTGGGTGGCCCGCTTTCTGCAGATTGGCGGGCGCCTGCGCTGTATCAAGTGGGAGTGATGCGGCACATGACGGGGGCCCGCAGCTCATGGCAGGGCCCCATATTTTTCCAATTTTTCTGCCTGATTTGGCAGGCGCCCGCAATGCTACAGCCTTACACCATTTTGCTATTTGCAACTTGAAATAATTTGGCCCGGCCCGAAGACGCGATAATCCTCCTTAGCGCTTTTTACAAGGACAACCATGAGTTCAATGGATCACTGGCTTGGCCAAAATGAAGGCCCCTAGCAACGGCATGTTATGATTCCTCAACAACTTAACAAAGCCGCACTTTTAACTATCTTTGGGGAACTAACCTAAAAGTAAACAAAAACACACAAATGAAGCTAATATGTACAATATGATCAACTAATGGACTTAACTAATGCAAATAAGGGCGTTTAAATATGCAATATTCGGTACTTATCACACCTCCAAACTTACATTTTGCTAGTCCTATAACAAAACCAAAAATAAAGATCTTAACAAAATGACAACATTTGAAATGCTATCAATATACATCAACTATGGTGCAAGAAAGTACACACACAGCTCATTTGCAACTTGGAACAGACAGAGTATTGGAGACGCAATCATTTTGCAAACTACCTTGCGTATATGAAGCCTTGATATAACACAATGACTAAACACATTTCAATTCTCATGCATCAACATCATAGTCTATATAAATACTTCAATTGTCATCTCTTTAATAGAAATCAACTCTAACCCTAATGAAAGTGAACTGGATTCCCAATATGTGGCTTTTACCTTCTTTTTCCAATTTCAAAACACAAGTCTTGAAATCATTGAATTTCCCTTTTAAATAAGGTCTCTAAAGCATGATTTATTCAAAATACACATTTTTATTACTTTTTTTTTTTACATACATACTATGGTCGTGCAATGCCGAAGTCCCTTAAGCTTTCTAACCGACCCATATAGCAAGTGTTAGGCCAGCAACTCCCAAACCGGATGACTTTAGGGTGCTAAGTGTAAAGACACTCCAAGGGCTTACTAACTCAAGTTGGCAAAGCTACAAACTCCAACAAACCATATTTATTTATTTTTATTTTTATTTTTGTGAATAATCGTCCAATGCCTAAGTCCCTTAAGCTTTCTAACCAACCCATGTAGCAAGTGTTAGGCCAGCAACTCCCAAACCGGATGGCTTTAGGGTGCTGAGTGTAAGGACACTCCAAGGGCTTAATAATTCGAGTTAGCAAGGCTACGAACTTAAACTAGTCATTATCCTTATTCATTTTTTTTTTTTTTTTTTATTCAATGCCAAAGATATCCATTCATTAGGGTCATTAATTCAAATCAACTGAGTCATGGTCAAGGTATATCAGGTTACATGCCTCACAATTAAGTTTCTGGTGTACATCTGTGAAGTGTGAAGCATGAAAGAGTATGAAATCCGACGAAAATCTAATTAAAGCATTTATACAAATCGGTTTCAATCAACATAATCATTTCACATTTTTCTTTATTTTCAAAGCTATCATTTGCCTCTATACACAAAGTATTAAAGACATACTTCAATCTCCAACAAGTTCCAAATTACAGAATCATTGCTTTCCAAAAAATGATTTTATTACTTTACATGAACAATTAGTACATGCAAACAAAAATGCATATATATATATATATAATGCATACCAAAAATATACCCCCAAACTGGAATGTCACATTGTTCTCAATGTGAGAAGACAAAGAATGATTAATGAAAAATAGAGAAGGTAACAAGAACAATATTACCAAGTGGAGAAGGACATTAAGTGGCGGTGTAAAAATATGCCACCATGTGAATTCCAAAAGCACGCCCCCAAACTTGATTCTAAAAACCTGTCAAATCGCATCTATGCACAACAAGCATCAAATAAATCCAGACAAAGATAATAATAAACAACTGCAATTTTATTTAACTAAAAATTGCAGTTATAAGTTCAAAATAGGAACTGAAAGTAATGCCAAACGCGGCCCAAAACAAAGCAAAAAAGTACTACTGAAAATGAAAATAGAAACTAAAAGCATAAAATCACTCCTCCATGGTCTCGACTCGCAGCTGAATGTTATCAAGATGGGTGCTGAGAGAGAGTAGTCGGCACGAGACATAGCAGGTAGTGGTGGTGCACCAGGTGTGGGAGCAGCCGGCGCAGAAGCAACAGGGACAGCGGGACCTCCCCAATCAAACACACCACCAATGCGGGCTTGACGAGAAGTCTTAAGCTGGATGGTGCTCGACTTCCATGCACCAAGGTCAAAAAGAAATACCTTGGTGTTCTTCTCTTCTCTTTGGGGGACCCTGAACATCTTAATCTTGAGGAGCTTGGTGACCAAGTACGGAAAAGGAAGTGCTCAAGTGAGGCATTATCCGACTGGGTCACAAAAAGACCATTGTAGACCTTGAGAAACTGGTCCCAGATGAGCTATAGGATGCAAAACCAATGGCCCTTCTCAGCAACATAAAGGGTGTGCAGAAAAACCCCTTTACACTCAGAATGCTTAGAAACGGGAAGGACATTTTTGGCAAGGACGGAGTCCAAGAACCATAGTCAGCACAGGAGGAATGACTTATTCGTGTTTGATCTGCGATTACCGATATACATGTTGTGGCAAATTTCCTCAACAATTTCATACAATCTCAGCTCAGCTGGAGAGTTATCGTACAGAGGCTGGTCCAGTTCATTCACCGGAGATACCAATGGACACTCCAAGGCCGTGGCAAGGTCATGAATGGTGAATTCAAAAACTGCGCCATCAATGGTGGTCTTAATGACCTCTGGCTCTGCACATGTATAAAACATATTGGAATAGAACTAGTGGACGATACGCGAATAGAAAGAGCTAGCGCGTGGTTTGAATAGAGCTTTTAGGCCACGGTCCTTCAACTCTTGGACCGCCCACTCCGTTTCTGAATTTTCTTCGAAGCCGTCTTTGATAACAAATTTGGCCCCAGTTTTAATGGGCCATTCAACCCAATTTGGCGTAAGAGGATCCTTGGATGTCCCTCAGAGGAACGAGTGTGCTTGGAAGAGGTTTTAGGTGCCATTTGGAAGAAGAAGTTAGCTTCAACAATTTATTGAACACCTGGTGTGCAAGACAAAAAGGAAGAGGTCCAAAGGTTGATTAGAGTTATGAAATCCCAAAAATTTTGTCCCTACAAACAAGAATATACAAGCCCAAACAACTATAAATCCTCAACACCATCAATCCCGTCCTCCATTGATCAAAAATTGAGAGAAAGAGAAAAAGAAACTTACCCAAATTTAAGAAACTAAAAGCCCCCTTCTTGGAGTGAAATGGAGATGGATGAAAGAATGAGAGGATGAGGGAGATGACAGAGATAAGGGTTTATGATGGAAATAGGGGTAGGAGGGAGAATGAGGAAGAATAAAAAGAAGGGTAAGGGAATTAGAGAAGCTGGGCCAAGAGGGAAAGAGAGAGGGAGAGTAAGAGTATTTTAAAATAGGCCAAGGGTTCATTGATTTTTATAAAACACGAAGGCTGGCGGGCGCCTGCATCACGGGGCAGGCGCCCGTGAGTTGTCAAGGGCACTCCCCTCGGCTTGGATGAAGACATATGGCAGGGTCCCGCGAAATTCCAAACTAACTGCCTAAAATGGCTGGCGCACGCAAGGTTTGGCGGGGCCCTGCCACTTCTGGGTAGAAACCTCCTTTTTGAAGTGATTTTTGGCCTAACGGAGGCCAGGCCGGGGTCGAAAAATTCCCCAATTAGAAAATTAAGCTCCTATAGACCCTAGACACCTTGTAAAACCTTTAGAACGAAAATCGGAGCTCATTTGCAAAAGCGCCATTTTTTAGGCCCGAATTTCCCATGATTTTTGGATTTTTTGAGAAAATTGCCAGAATGAACTTGAAAAATTCTAAAAATGGTACCGGGACCTTAAAATGACTAAGTAAGCCTAAAGTGACTTTTAGAACATAATTCGAGACAGTTATAGAAAAGTTCACATTTTGGCTATACTTAGCTAATTTCTAAAAAATCTTGGCTAGGGCAACTTGAAAGAGGGAAGCTTAGAAGTTGAAAGAATTGCTTCCCATGAGTGCTAAATTTATTGTCGATAGCTAGATGAACCATGATGCTACATCAGTCCTCGTAAATTGGGTCCGTCAATAGGACTTTCTCTACTTTTCGGATCGGGACGATGCCATCAACATAAGGCTTAAGCTGTTGGCCATTAACCTTAAAGAGAGATCCATTGGTAGGATCATGAAGTTCAATTGTGCCATGAGGAAAAATGGATAAGATAACATATGGACCATCCCACCGTGACCGGAGTTTACCGAGAAAGAGTCGCAAGCGAGAATTGAAAAGCCAAACTTTCTGTCCAGGGGCAAAAGACTTGTTGACAATATGCTTGTCATGAAATGCTTTAGTCTTTGCCTTATAGATTTTGGCGCTCTCATACACATCATTTTGGATTTCCTCAAGCTCATTGAGCTACAATTTGTGAGTAGAACTGACTTGTGTAAGATTAAAGTTGAGCCGTTTTATAGCCCAAAAAGTGCAGTGTTCTAACTCGACCGAAAGATGACAAGCTTTGCCAAAGACAAGTCGATATGTTGACATGCCGATGGGCATCTTATACGCTATCCGGTAGGCCCAGAGTGCAACGTTTAGTCTTAATGACTAATCTTTGCGGTCCGGACGAACTGTTTTTTCCAGAGTATGTCTGATCTCATGATTAAATACTTCCACTTGACCACTCATTTGACGGTGGTAAGGTGTGGCAACCTTATGAATGATAGAGTATTTAAGAAGGAAGGATTTGAGACAGGGATTTCAAAAATGAGATCCTCCGTCACTGATGAGGGCGCATAGCGTACTAAATTGACTGAAGATGTTCGATTGAATAAACATGACCACAACTTTATGATTGTTGGTTTTGGTAGCTTTGGCCTCAACCCATTTAGACACGTAATCCACCACTACAAGAATGTACTAATAGCTATAAGAGGATAGAAACGGTCCCATGAAGTCAATTCCCCATACATCGAAGATTTCTATGACTAAGATAGGAGCCAAGGGCATCATGTCTCTCCTGGACATGGATCCGACCTTTTGGAAATGCTCACATAACTTATAGAAATTGTAAGCATCCTGAAACAAGAAGGGCCAATAAAATTCGCTTTGAAGGACTTTTGTCAACAGTTTTCTTAGCACTGAAGTGTCTTCCACATGAAAGAGTGTGGCAGAAATTTAGGACACTTGAGAATTCAGTTTTGGGAATGTATTACCGGATGATTTGGTCGAGGCAATACTTGAATAACTCCAGATCTTCCCAAAAGAAATTCTTGACTTGGGAGAGAACCGGTCCTTCTCTTGTTTAGACCAATTGGACGGAATTTTTCCTACCGTAGGGTAGTTGACAATATCGGTGAACAAAGGAAGACTTGAATGATAAATCTGAAACAGTTACTCATCCGGAAAGGAATCACAAACTGCAGCAAATTCAGAAGATTTCTCAATGAGTAGACGAGAGAGATGGTCAACAACAACATTGTCTGTCCCTTTTTTATCCCAGATTTCAATGTTAACCTCTTGTAGTAAGAGTATCCATCGAATTAGATGGGGCTTAGTCTCGTTTTTAGCGAGCAAGTGCCTTAGAGCGGCATGGTCTGAAAAGACAATGACCTTGGATTCAAGAAGGTAAGAACGGAATTTATCCATGGCATACACCATAGCTAGCAACTCTTTTTCAGTGGTGGTGTAATTCAACTGAGCATCAGATAGAGTTTTGCTAGTATAATAAATAGCATGCAGAAGCTTGTCCACACGCTAGCCCAAAACCACCCAATGTATAATCAGGTGCATCACACATGATCTCAAATATAAGAGACTAGTTAGGCGGTTTCATGATTGGGGCTGATGAGAGAAGAGTACAGAGCTTCTTGAAAGCTTCCAAACAGGTTTCATCAAAATTGAAGGGAATATCCTTGGCAAGAAGAATACACAAAGGTCGGGATATTTTGCTAAAATCTTTGATGAAGCAGCGATAAAAGCCGGCATGACCAAGAAAGGAACGGATTTGTCGGACAGAGTTTGGAGGAAGAAGATTGGAGATCAATTTGAATTTTTCCTTGTAGACCTTAATTCCCCTTTTAGAATTAACATGTCCCAAGACAATACCTTCTTGGACCATAAAATGACTCTTTTCCTAACTTAAAATCATATTTGTCTCCTTACATCTTTGAAGCACAAAGGATAAATTGTGAAGACATGAGCCAAAGGAAGATCCAAAGACGAAAAAATCATCCATGAATACTTCCAAAAACTTTTCAACCATATTGGAAAATATGGACATCATGCACCTTTGGAAAGTTTCCGATGCATTGCATAGCCCAAAGGGCATACGTCTATAAGCAAATGTTCCAAATGGACATGTGAATGTGGTCTTCTCTTAATCTTGAGGATCAATTGCCACTTGGTTATAGCCGGAATAACCATCAAGGAAACAGTAGCAGCTTTGGCCGGCAAGCCTCTCTAGGATTTGATCAATAAATGGAAGTGGAAAATGATCCTTCCTAGTGGTAGAGTTGAGTTTCCGGTAGTCAATGCACACACACCACCCGGTGGTGGTGCGTTGTGGCACGAGCTCTCCCACTGAATTTTTAACAACGGTGAGGCCGAATTTCTTAGGAACAACTTGAGTGGAGCTAACCCACTTGCTATCAAAGATAGGGTAGATGATTCCTGCATCTAGTAGCTTGATCACTTCTTTCATGACCACTTCCTTCATGTTTGGATTCAACCGGCACTGCACCTCTCTAGAAGGTTTAGAGTCGTCCTCCATATGAATGCGATGCATACAAATAGAAGGGTCGATTCTTTTCAAATCAACCACTACCCAACCAATAGCTTCTTTATGCACTTGTAACACCGCTAAAAGGCTGTTTTCTTGGTCCTTTAAAAAGTCCTATGCAATGATGACTAGAAGAGTTTTATTTACACTAAGAAATACATACTTGAGGTGGGCCGAGAGCGACTTTAACTCAAGTTGTGGTGGAGATTTCAAGCAGGGGACCGGATGAGTAGTGGAAAGTTGAGGAAGTAATTCTTTTGGCACTTTCCAAGGAGGAAAGTCCATGATAGCACCAATGTTGAGCAAAGAATTTACTTCTTGGATGGATTGATTGATATCAAAGTTCGCAAAATCAAAGTGAGACATGAAAGTTTCAAGAGGATCCTTACTTAGAATGAAGGGGAGAGATTCTTCGACCACTTCATCTACCACATCAATGAGAAAACAATCATCCTCTTCAGAAGGATGTTGAGTTGCATGGAAAATGTGGAGTTTGACTTACATATTTTCAAAGGCAATATCCATCACCCCGGTTTGGCAATTTATCAAAACATTAGCCGTAGCTAAGAAAGGCCTATCGAGGATCACGACAATATGTTTCTTTGGATCATGGATCGGTTCCGTGTCAAGAACCACAAAGTCTACCGAGAAGTAGAATTTGTCCACTTTGATAATCACATCTTCAAGAATGCCCAGTGGGTGCTTGACCGATCTATCGGCAAGCTGCAAGACCATGGAGGTTGGCTTAAAATCCTCCAACCCAAGTTATAAGTAAAGTAAATAAGGAATCAAGTTCACACTTGCTCCTAAGTCAAGGAGGGCACTTTCTATCTTATTGTCACCAATGACACACGAGATTGTCGGGGCACCTGGATCCTTATACGTTGGAGGGGTGTTGTGTTGAATTATCGCACTCACTTGTTCAGTTAGTCTTACCTTCTTTGGTAAATGAGTTTTGGAAGTGCGCTTTTGAGTGCACAAATCCTTTAGAAATTTGGCATAGGGAGGAATTTGGTTGATAGCATCCAAGAGAGGTAGGTTGATCTTTACTTACTTAAAGACCTCCCACATGTCTTGAATTTTATAACTTTTGTTCCCAAAATGTGTCGACTCTTGGAGACATTAAGGAAACGGAGCCTTAATCTCATAAGAATTCTCCACATTTGGGGTGACAAGCTTGGAATTTTCAGTGCTAGACTTTGGATTTTCAAGAGTGAATTTTGGAT